GGCGGCTATTGGACCGGCTGGCAGATGAGGGGGCCCTAAAATCCTACCTACCCAAGGCTAGGGATAATACCCAGGCCAAGAAAGGGCAGGCGGCAAAAACCGGCCCAGTAAACTCCGAGACGGATGAAGAGACCATCTTCACCATAGCAGGCGGTTTTGCCGGAGGGGGTCCCACCATCCGGGGCACCAAAGACAACATCAAGAAGCTGGTCAACTCAGTGGATGAGGGCCAGGCGTCGAAAGACATCTTTCCTGAGGTCCTTATTTCTGAAAAGGACCGGGGCAAGGTCAGGCGGCCTCATGATGACCCCATCGTCATCGAATGCAAGGTTGCCAACCAGAAGGTTGGCCGAATCCTAATAGACACCGGGAGCTCGTCTGACCTAATCAGTTATCAGTGCTTGACCAAGCTCAAGTACACATCTGGTAACATGCACCAGGCTCCTCACCCACTAGTCGGATTTGGGGGTGGAGTAGTGCATCCGGTCGGAAGCATAGATCTTCCAATCCGGCTGGGTGAAAAGGGGCAAGGACGCCACATGATAGTCAGGTTTTTAGTTGTGGAGGAGCTGTCCGCCTACAACATGATATTTGGCCGTCCTACCCTCAACGCATCTAAGGCAGTCATCATCCCGTCCCTCATGTTGGTCAAATTTCAGAAGGATGATGGTACAGTCGGTGCCCTAAGCGGGGACCAGAAGACGGCAAGAGAGTGCTATCTCTCTGACGTCAAGACAACTGTGGGTGCAGCCGGCCAGGGCGAGCCCATAGATATTGATAACTGCGACCCAGCAGTCCCGGCTCCAAGGGCAGCCGGTATGAAAATAAAGGCGGACCAACTGGCACCCGTCAAAAAGGAGAAATAGCAATCACTAGCCGGGGAAAGGTCAGATGACCAACGACCTCAGCCGGCTGGTGACTGCCTTGATGTCATCCTAGATGACAGCCGTCCTGAAAGAACAGTCAAGGTCGGGACGGTAGCCTTCGGACGGTAGCCGGCTGGTGACTGCCTTGATGTCATCCTAGATGCTGGGTTCATTAGGCAATGCTACTACCCGGATTGGGTGGCAAATGTCGTTCTAGTAAAGAAGCCGAACGGCACTTGGCGGATGTGTGTGGATTACACAGATCTGAACAAAGCATGCCCAAAAGATAGCTACCCGCTTCCAAAGATTGACAGCCTAGTCGACTCAACAGCCGGCCATGCGTTAATGAGCTTTATGGATGCTTATTCCGGCTTCCATCAAATACCTCTCTGGAAGAAAGATCAGGAGAAGACGGCTTTTGTCACTGATCAGGGGTTATTCTGCTATACGGTGATGCCGTTTGAATTGAAGAATGCACCGGCTACATTCCAGCGCATGATAAACACCGTTTTTATCAACCAGATTGGCAGGAATGTAGAGGCGTATATCGATGACATGATAGTCAAATCCAAGCTACAGACGGATCACCTAGCAGACCTGCGAGAAACCTTCACCACACTCAGGTGGCACCGGGTCATGCTTAACCCAAAGAAATGCGTATTTGGTGTTGAGTCTGGGAAGTTTCTCGGATTCTTGATTGACCAAAGAGGCATCGAAGCTAATCCGGAAAAAATACAGGCGGTAATTGACATGAAGTCTCCCCGCACTGTAAAAGAGGTCCAGAAGTTGACCGGTTGTCTGGCGGCATTGGGGAGGTTCCTCAGCCGGTCAGGTGACAAGTGCCTCTATTTCTTCCAGGCAATCAGGAAGAGGTCAAGGTTTGAATGGGGTGAAGAAGCAGAGGCGGCATTCTAGAGGCTTAAGCAGCACTTGCATTCTTTGCCAAGGCTAGTGAGCCCCCTAGCCGTCTCTGATCACGCCCTTAGTGCCGTTCTCCTCGCTGAGAGAGACGGCATTCAGCTGCCGGTGTACTTCATCATCCATGTCCTTAAAAATGCTGAGCTCCGGTACCCCATGATCGAAAAATTTGGGTTGGCCTTATTCGTAGCAGTCAAGCGGTTGAAGCCTTATTTTTTGGCACATCCGGTTGTGGTATACACAGATCAGCCGCTCAAGCGTACGATGACTGCTATAGAGTCATCCGGTAGAATGATCAAGTGGGCTGTTGAAATACAAGGCCTTGAGATAACTTTTGAACCCAGGCGGGCAGTGAAAGGTCAGGCGTTTGCCGACTTTATTGTCGAGATGACTAGGCCGGTGCACCCGGAAAACCCTGATCAGGTCTGGAAGTTATTTGTAGACGACAGCTCTACGGTGAACGGCTGTGGTGCAGGTGTTATCTGTCATTCCCCGGAAGGGGATAAGTTTGAATATGCACTACGGTTTAAGTTCCAAGCCTCCAACAATGAGGCAGAGTATGAAGCCCTGCTAGCCGGATTGCGCATGTGTAAGGCAGCCGGTGCAAGAAAGGTCGACGCCTGCTCAGATTCACAGCTGATCGTTAGCCAATACCTTGGTGACTACGAAGCCACCCATCCGGCTATGATCAAATATTTGCAGGCGGTCAAAGAGGAGGCTGGGTCCTTCGATGAATTTCATCTGCGACAGGTGCCCCGGTCTGAAAACAATCAGGCGGATGCCCTCTCAAAGTTGGCATCATCAGCCTCCGGTGATGCTCCTAGGACGGTCTTTTGGGAAGTCATTGAAAAACGAAGTATTCAGAATGATCCCATTGGAGTCTTGGACAAAACTGCTACCTGGATGGATCCCATCCGGTCCTTTTTGACGGATGGTACCTTGCCGGATGACCCTTCAGAAGCATCAGCGCTCAAGAAGCGTGCTTCAAGTTTTGTTGTTCATCAAGGGGAACTCCTCCGGAAGGGATACCTGCAGCCTTTTTTGAAATGTGTAACCCCGGATAGGGGGAGAGAAGTGTTGGAAGATCTGCACGCGGGGTTTTGTGCCTCGCATATTGGCGGCAGGTCCCTGGCCAGAAGAACCAGACGGCAAGGGTACTTCTGGCCCACTCTTGAAGCGGATGCCATGGATCTAGTAAAGAGATGCGACAAGTGCCAAAAATTCGCTAAGTTGATACATCAACCGGCAACAGAACTCACGGCAATCCATAGTCCGGTTCCGTTTGCTAAATGGGGCATGGACATTTTGGGACCTTATACGCCTGCATCAGGCGGCCGCCGCTACATTCTTGTAGCAGTAGACTACTTCACCAAATGGGTTGAGGCAGAGGCGGTAAAAGGGATTAAAACGAAAGACGTGATTTCTTTCATCTGGAGAAACGTCATCACCCGGTTCGGGGTTCCAATGTCCATGGTTTTCGACAACGGACCGCAGTTCGAAACGCCTGTCCTGAAGACCTGGTTGGGAGACCAAGGAATTTCCCATTGTTTTGCATCCGTTGGCCGTCCTCAGGCAAACGGTCAAGTTGAGGCTTTTAACAAGTTGATCTCAGACGGGATAAAGAAGAAAGTAGAAAGAGCCGGTGGACTATGGGCAGAGGAATTACCTCATGTCCTTTGGGCTATCCGGACAACCGAAAAGGGGGCAACCGGTGAGACCCCATTTCTCATGACATACGACACTGAAGCAGTTCTTCCCATTGAACATTATGAGCCTACTCTACGCATTATGTTATATGATGAGGAGGCTAACTGGGAAGCCATGCGGTTGGCATTAGACGCTCTTCCAGAGCGAAGGGGGAATGCTGCCTTGTGTCATGAGATCTACCGTCTGCGTATGACTAGAGCCTACAACAAGCGGGTTCGTAAAAGACCTTTGAAAGAAGGAGATTTTGTGCTTCGCAAAATGGAGGCAACCGGTAGGGCCAATGAACAAGGCAAATTAACCCCAAATTGGGAGGGACCCTACCGGATCTTTGAAGAAGTACGAGACGGCACTTACCGCCTGGAAACTCCAGACGGAAGAAAGTTGCCTAGAACTTGGAATGTAGATAACCTCAAAAAATACTACTTCTAAGTATTGTACATCTTTTGAAAATTTTCAAATGATTAATGAGAATTACATTCAATTTTGTATACAGCCGCCATGTTTTGTGCCTACCACAAGCGGCACCAGTAACTAATTTTTTCATCCGGTGACACCCATACGGGTGAATTCATCGAAGAGAACATCTCCCATTTGAGTGGTAAATTGTTCTAAGCGATCACACAGGCGGACAAATCCGCCTGACGATCCTTGGCACCAAAAAAGGGCAGGGTAGCAACCCCAAACTTGCAGCCGGCTCACTTTTTGGAAGGACAGCCGGTACTCAATACCGCCGCCTGACTCTCTAAGAGCAGGCCTAAACATTTGGTCTAGGCCATAATTCATTCAGGGGTATGCTTGCAAAAGCCCAACCGGTGAATGGACATCCTAATCTGGCGTGATTAGTTTGCGAAGTCCCGACCGGTAATTCAGTATAAACCGACTGGCTCCCGAACCTAATGTTGGCACTTAGTGCATATTCGAGCTATATCATATGGATAGTTGCCTGGCTTGCAAAGACCCAGACCGCTATCCAGGGGCAATTACCCAGACGCCATCCGGTTTGGTTTTGGGTCGAAATTTCTTCGCCTAGTTTGCGAAGACCCAGACGGCAGTGTTACCGGTGGGGTCTTCTTGGCAACCCTTGCAAATTTCTTCGCCTAGTTTGCGAAGACCCAAACGGCAGTGTTACCGGTGGGGTCTTCTTGGCAACCCTTGCAAATTTCTTCGCCTAGTTTGTGAAGACCCAGACGGCAGTGTTACCGGTGGGGTCTTCTTGGCAACCCTTGCAAATTTCTTCGCCTAGTTTGCGAAGACCCAGACGGCAGTGTTACCGGTGGGGTCTTCTTGGCAACCCTTGCAAATTTCTTCGCCTAGTTTGCGAAGACCCAGACGGCAGTGTTACCGGTGGGGTCTGCTTGGCAACCCTTGCAAATTTCTTCGCCTAGTTTGCGAAGACCCAGACGGCGGTGTTACCGGTGGGGTCTTCTTGGCAACCTTTGCAAATTTCTTTGCTGTTTGCGCAGACCCAAGCGGTAGTGTTACCGGCGAGGTTCTTTTGGTTATCCTCGCAGAAATATGTATAAAAAATAACAAGAATTCTAATATTGAAGTGCATAAACATAAAAAGCATTCAAAAGCCGGCTCAGCCGGTGAAAATGTTTATATTCAAAATAAAAATTATTACAGCTTAGCCCATCTCATCCGGCGCTATTACAAGATAATGCTAGGCACGCAGGCCGGGAAGTAGTTGCTACTGTAGGCGAACAGTGAGCCGGTCCTATTCCGGTTGGTTCTGGGTTGGATCAGGGTGAGCGGCTGCGTCGGCTTCAGGAACGACTTCTTCCTCTTCAGCAGCCTCCGCCTACCGTCGCGCAATCTCCTCCCTAACCCAAGCGTCATAGGGTCCGGGCCCCGGCTCATTCGCCTCCTCGGCCAGAATGGCAAGATCAGAATATTTGAAGGCGAGTTCCCAGACGGTGAAGTCCGCCTCCGGGTGGATGAGGGAAAACGCCCGTTGCATCCGGTTTGCACAGTCATGCTCATTCTCTTCAATGAGCCTCTCCTGCTCCGACTCCAAGGTGGCCTTGAAGTTCTCATTGGCAGCAGCCGCCTCTTTGCGCAGGCGCTCATTCTCTTTGGCAAGGCGGCCATTTTCAGTCTCCGCCTTGCTCAGCCGTTGGAGGAGCTCTGTCTGTTCCTCCAACTTTTTATTGGCATCATCCAGGGACGCCTGCAGTTGGTCAACTTGGTTTTTCAGCTGATCAATCTGCTGTTGGAGGGCTTTGGTCTTCTCCGCCTGTTCCATGCGTATAGATTTAGATTCTAAGCCATGCATGTACAAAGAGTAGTCAGCAACATTATGGGCGTCATCAACAGCCCGTTTGCTTCTCCTTACCTCCTCAGACTTGCGGGTATAAGCTCGTTTGAGCCCCTCTACGCGCAGCATAGCCTGCAAAAATACAGCCCATAAGCTCGTTAATACTGCATATTTAAAAATGCACGTCAAGAAAATTACCGCACGGTTGTTGGAGCATACGTCGGCCAGGTCGACCAGCACCCGGTCGGCATTAAAGGAGTTGATCCCAGGGATCGCCTCCTTCTCGTCCCTGGGGACGGCTTTCAGCATGGCCCGGGCATATTGTGCCCCGTCCGGCCAGCGGGGAGAATTATCTGCACCAGAAACAGACGGTGAGAAACTCGCATATGCTCTGCCTATAGATTGCCGGCTGATTGGAGAATCCCCCGGCTGCGATCGAGACTGTGAATAAGACTTGACCCGCATGGGCAGATCAAGCAGTGTAAGGTCGAAGTTACCTTGGCGGCCCGAACGGCCTTCAGAGGGACCGGTTGCGGTCCTCAATGGGATGGCAGAAAGCACATCCGCAGATCCAGGCCCGTCTGGGACCCTTATTGATTTGCCGCCGGTAGTTTGCCGGTCGGCTGTCTTCTGCACCTTGGATGCAGACTCTTGTTGGGTCGGCGGAGGCCTGACCTGTTTTTGAAGGGACCGGGGCATCTGCTTCCCGTCCTGTAAACGAGAAAAATATAAGTTATGGGATAAAAGGATTGAAATAAACGAGAAGGATCAGACGGTTATACCTTCTTCGCCGCCTGGGCAGCAAGTTTTTTCTCGAGATTGGCTTTCCGGATGTCGGCAGCCGACCTAGCCGGTGTCTTCTCAGTGGGCAGCATTTTCTTGGCTTCTTCTGCAGAGGAAGGCACACGGTTAGAATAATAAATAAGCAAGGAAATAAAAGCATCCGGTACGAAAGAAACCGGCTGAGTTCCGAATACATACGTTTTTTAAACATGCTGCTTAGGCCACAAGCGGACAAGAAGCATTCGTCCCTAAAAAATTCATGTTTGGGCACCCAGTTTCTAGGTACCCTTACTATCTCTCCGGATGAGAGGGTGTCAGGAACTAACTCAAAAAACCCGGAGTCAAGGATGGTCTCTCTATCATCCTCCGGGACAGGGGGCAAGCAGCACTTGGTCCCCAAGAGTTCTGGTTTCCGGTTGTAGATCCGGAATTCTCTGTTCTCTGCCGTAGTTGGGGCCTTTTACAAGTAGAACCGGTGCTTCCAGTCCGACCATTTGGATGGCTTGTCCAAGGTCATAAGGTATTTGGGCTGGGTGGTCAAGGTATACCAGGCTCTCCAGCCGCCTGGGCTCCTACTCAAGTAATGCATGTGGGCAAACGCCTCCCAGCCGGGGTTGAGGCCCTGCATCTCGCAGGCGGCGATATACCCTAAAATATTTACCCATGAGTTAGGGGTTAATTGCCAGAGACCTAGGCCATACCCCCTAAGTATGGCTTTTATTGTGTCGTGGAGAGGGAAGCGGACTCCGGCCACGAAGGCCGCCTCGTAGCACCCGAACCAAGCGTTCGCGTTCGGTTGTCCATCCTCCCACCATATTGTTCCCAGAGCAGCCGGGACTTTTATTGTATAGTCACCACCCAGCGGCCGCCGTTTGATAAAATCTGGCAGCGCAGCCCGCATGAGCTCGCGGTCCTTGGAGGAGACGGCGATCATGAGAGGATCGTTCCTATTATCCCAAGAAGGCCTCTCCGCCTCCTCGCTATCCTCAGATTCGGTTAAGTAGCTGCTACTGCTACTTTGAACGTGACCGGCATCAGAGCCGGCTGGGGAGTTGGAGACCTCCTTATCAGAGCCTACCTGCTCTCTGGTCTCCTGGAGGGGAACACTCTCTTCGTTTAAAATGCTATCACCCGGGGTTCTAGGAGCGCCCCCGGGTGAGCCTCTCTGCTCTACCTCTCCATGCTCTACTTCACCGTCTGAAGGTGGGACCTCAGGCGGCTGCTCATCTGAGCTCCCACTTCTGTAGTTGGGATCTCTGGCAGTAGACCGGATTCTGGCCATTGTGTCCTGCACAGACACAGAGTCGGTCGATATGGGTGTTGAAAAAGGGTTGTCCCAAAGAACAGAGGCGGCAGACCTAGTTCTAGACTCAGCCGTACTAATAAACCGGCTGAGTTCACAGCTAGGTTCCGGGTATGGGTATAAGGGGTCCATCTACTTATGGGACCAATGAACAAAAATGCGAGTAAAAGACTCAAACGGAAATACATGAAAAAGCTAGAAAGAATAGAGACGGTACCTAGAAGAAAATCTGGAAATTCTCTGGGATGCTTGCGAAGACGCAGGCGGTTCAAAATCCGGCTGGGTTTCTCTGATTACCCTCTCGAAAACCTTTGGCTAGCTTGCAACGACCCAGACGGTCTGTAGACCGGTTGCTCTCAACGAATCTCAACTCCGAATGCTCTCAACTCTCAAATTGCCGGCTGCTCTCAAATCTTCAGAAATTTGGCAAAGTTTGTAAATGAGAGCTCGGGGGACATCTTCTCCTATTTATAGAATTTGTCCCAGAAGGTGAAAAGTCGTGACTCTTCGCCTTCTGCTTTTCCATCCTTCAAAAGGAATCTGAAGAGTTAAAAAAAAAAAAAAAAAACCTTTCACCGGCGCCACGTGGCACCCTGCCACGTCAGCACCAGTGAGGGGCAAATGTTTGGGGTAAAAATACCCTAAACACGTGGCCCAATGGCCTAGTGACACGTGGCATCCAGCCGTTGGTCAGCAGGGCTCCAATCCTCTGCTGACACGTGTCCTCTAAACCCTAAAAGGGGAACCATCCCTTCCCCACTATAAATAGTGGAAGGACCCTCATTAAGGGGGGTTGGAACATTTGTGGTTCACATTGAATACTCCTCAAAAAGAAAAACACTTACCCCGAGCAATATTAATTGCAGAATTCTCCCATTACGCGAGAAGTAACTTCTACATTACGTGCATTCTACCTCCCATATCTTTACTAACTTGATCGTTGGAGGCGGAGCTCCTACCCCCAGGAGTCTTCGTGATTTTGCAGGCACAGGCGTCGAAGGGCATTCTTGGAATTGTAACTCTCCCGCAGGACACATCAAAAAACCCCGAAACAATTAGGGTAAAAATGTATTTGGACGGAAAAAAGAAAGTTGAGTCTACCGCGTCACGGCAAATTATGTCGCGTCACGGCAAATTATGTCAGGCCACGGCATGTTCTCCCGTGACATGATGCCAACGCCGTGAAACGGGACATCTCTTCTTCTCCCTATAAACCCTTCATGCATTTTTAACTCCTGTAGGTTTAATTTTTCCCGCATCACACATGGTTTCCCCGCGTCACGCCATTATTTGCTGTTTCACGACAGTTCTTTTAGGGGTTTTTTTATCCTTTTTAGGGTTCCGTATGTTCCTTCTACACATTTTCCCCATAAATACCCCCTCATTTTCGATGTATGGGGCATCAATTAATTTTCTCTCCTCTCTTCTATGCTCTAGCATAAACACTAGCCTATCTTATTCTTTTAAAATTCCTTCCTTAAGCACTCCTAGTAGTCCGTACTTTACTCGAGGTTATGTTAATAAACCAAGGTGTGAAAGGTATAACTGTTTGAGGTTTTTAGCCCCAAATCAACTCTATTTAATATAACTTAATTGTTGTTTTATTAATTTTCCTTGAAGCTACCAACTCGTTTATTTTTTTTTAGTTGCAAGCAACAAAATCAAAGTAAGAGTTATGTTCCTTTTATTTCTATTATTTTTCTAACGATTTTATATTGTTGGATTTATTGTTAAATTGCTTCTAATATTAATGTTGATTTATATTGTTTTTATGATTAGTATATTGCATGTTAAAGGGAATATGTCATTGAAAATCACGCCTAATAAAATAATTTGGACAACCGGTTTAGGTTCCTTTTTAATCTTGTTTGTTTAATTAAGTGATTACAATATTTTAGAATTATATTTTGCATTAATATTCTACCAATTTAGCATAATAATAGTTTAGAGAAAATTGAATCTTTGTTTGTATGCCTTTGAGATCGCAGGTATCACTTTTCACTATAAAAATCGAGAAGAGGCCAATACGGGTGAATGTGACTCCATGAGTCACTTCGTACCATCATCCCCGATCCTCCTTTCGTGGTTCCAAACCATATGGAGTTAGTAATCTCATGGATTATGAATGGGGTGTAACCATCACGGGTCAATCGTTGTTGCCTTTTGTTGCTGCCTTAATTGATCTGTGAACGATTTACAAGTTCCTTAAAAATTTGTTGGCGCCTCCCTACTTTCCTTGTGCCTAGTCGTTGTCCCTGATCGTATATGTCAATTATCACTTCCTATGAGTGCCAAGCATATTCACCACATGCTTAACGTAGGCGCACTTCAAACGACGCCTACAGGAACCTATCTGTTGACGACTTCCTAATGAACCTCCAAATGTTTGCTGCGAGTGTGACTACACCCGCATGGGCCAAGGAAGCTTAAATGGGGATTTGAAAGGGCTAGCCATAACTTCAACAATTTATAGGCTCTCGTCATCTACAGTCGTTGTAGAATTGCGAGCCGCCTTGGGTTTTTCACCTCCCTTAGGCAGTGCCTCATTACCCAGCTTGTTGCTTAGGTCTAGCCCTAGACCAAAGCCCTTCAAGCAGAGACTTTTTCCCTTGATGTTCAGGCGTCCCTTCCTAAACGGAGGCTTGGGAGCTTTTTGAGTAGAGGGCATCTTCTATGACTTGGCGGAGCTGTTTCCTTAGTTTTGGTGAATGCTTAGCTTTGGTGAATGCTTAGGAGGTCTCAAAGAACACCCTCACGTCAAATTAACCACACGATCAACCAAACCTTGAGACAAGTCCGTAGGCTTTATCAAGACGAGGGAAGAGGTTTTGGTGCTATAGTTGATAGTGAGAGTGATTCTTACTCTTCATGTTCACAAAGCGGATAAATGGCAGGACAAGAAGATGTTATTTTGTTTTGTGAGTTCGGAAATCCGGAGGATTATGAGCTCACGGGAGGGATTTTGCTACCCGTCACGGAAACCAACTTCGCAATCCATCCTCAATATACTCGAATGGTCTAATCGGAGCAATTTTTTTTGAAGTGCAAGTGAGGACCCTATTGAACACACTACTACAAAAATGGGAAAAGGAACCTATAATAAAAGACATGTTGGTTAATACAACGGGTCTCTTTAACATAAGGGATCTAATATTAGTGGAAACGAGTCTCTTATGTATCAAAGGGACGACAATAGTTTTGGGAAGATGGAGGGGAAAAAAATAAGAGACCCGTGGTTTGACCTAACATGTCTCTTATGTGTGCATGGGCCCACCAGTCAAACCAACCATTTTTTTGGAGTTGAGAACAAAACCCTACTCTTCTTATTTCCCAATTCCCTCATTTCCTTGGTTCACATCGTTCTCTCTTTCTATCCCCTCTCCTCTCCTCTCTCCTCTTTCTTATTTTTTCTCCCAGAGCAAAAAATGTTGCTGCAACCTCCTTCATAATGCCGACGGTCGCTTCCTCCTCCTCTTCAACGCCGACCCGCTTCCTCTTTCTATTTTACTACGAGTTTATTCGGGGTGATTTCGGGTTTAGGTGAGTAGTTTTGAAATATTTTGTGGGTGATAGTCTGATAGATAGACACTTCGTGCTATTCTACCGCAAATTAAGCCTGTATAAACCTCACGCCTTTGTTTTTTAATTTGATTTTTCAATTGGAATAATGTCTTAATTATAAGATTTGAGGAATAGTATGGTGCTCTAAGGGCTTATTTGCGACATGAAGTTAGGTTTTCATGTTATGGTGTATTTTTGTTTTTTTTGTCTAACATTATATTTGCTCGACTTTGGTTATCATTTCAATATTCATCCATTCAGGTTAGTACTTTAGTTTATTTTTTTTTTTTCCAATTGTATAGATAATCTTGATACGTTTCTTAAATTTAATTTGATTTACTTTTTAGATCTAACATTTGGGTTTCTATCTCATTTTTTGTACTCCGCATTATGCTTGGGTAACTTTAGATGTAATTTGTTTTGATTTTTCGTGTTTGAAGGTTTGATTTATCGTTTATTGGATGAGTTTATTATTATACATTGTTGAATTTGGGGTTTGGGATTTTAATTTATTATGGAGTTGATTATATTGATCTACAAGTTTATAACTTATTTTTAATTAAATTTTCATAAGATATAAAGTGTA